ACCCAGATGCATCCTGCGACTTCCTACCGTCCTTGGAGTGATGCTTCTTGATGGCCTTGCTTCCACCAGGTGGCTGGTTTGGGTTCGGATCCCTTTCTTATTATCTTGCCTTGAGGGCTCCACTGCTCTTGCGTGCTTGCGTGCGTGCGTGCGTTCTTGCTTGCTTGCTTGCTTCTGTTTCTTTTCATTTGTTGTTTGTCGTATCCTCCCGTCTTTCCTTGCTTCCTTGCTTCCTTGCTTCCTTGCTTCCTTGCTTCCTTGCTTCCTTGCTTCCTTGCTTCCTTGCTTCCTTGCTTCCTTGCTTCCTTGCTTCCTTCCTCTGTTTCCTTCCTTCCTTCCTTCCTTCCTTCCTTCCTTCCTTCCTTCCTTCCTTCCTTCCTTCCTTCCTTCCTTCCTTCCTTCCTTCCTTCCTTCCTTCCTTGCCTCCCTACTTCCCTACTTTATTTTTTTGTTACTTCCTTACTTCCTTGCTTCCTTACTTCTTCACTCCCTTACTTCCTTGCTTCCTTACTTCCCTTCTTCCCTTCTTCCTAGCATCCTTGCTTCCTTGCTTCCATACTTTCTTCCTCTCTCACTTTCTTAGTTGCTTACTTCCTTGCTTGCTTGCTTCCTTGCTTTCTTTACTTCCTTATTTCCTTACTCCCTTTACTTCCTTGCTCCTTTCTTACTTCCTTACGTCCTTACTTCCTTACTTCCCTGGTTCCTAGCATCCTGGCTTCCTTGCATTCTTACCTCTTTCACTTCCTTACTTTCTTGCTTCCTTACTTGCTTACTTCCTTGCTTGGTTACTTCCTTACTTTCTTGCTCCCTGTACTTCCTTACTTCCTCACTTCCTTTACTTCCTTACTTCCTCCCTTCCTCCCTTGTTTCCTTGTTCCCTTGTTTGCTTGTGTCCTTTCTTTCATTCCTAGAAAAGGAGCGTCACATGCTTTGTTAGCTTTTTACCTGTCCTTGGAGGCCATCTGTCCCAAGGCGGGTCGAATCTAACTGCAAACCCGCGTTTTCGCGAGGCTTCGCAAAAGGAAGGGTCTTTTTTTCAATGGTCCTTGTCCGGGAATCCAACAAGAGACCACCAATCTCGAAACTCCGCAAGCAGCCCAAAAAGGGGGAAACAACAAGGAAACCGAAGCACCAAGCAAAGACACAAGGGGAAAAAAACCAACCCAAACAAACAACCAGGCAACCAACCAACCAACCAACCAACCAACCAACCAACCAACCAACCAACCAACCAACCAACCAACCAACCAACCAACCAACCAACCAACCAACCAACCAAACAAACAAACAAACAAACAAACAAACAAACAAACACACAGGCAAGCCAGCAAGCAAACAAACAAAACACGACAAATCACCCCAAGCAAAAACTCGGCCACGTTTTGCCCACTTCTCCCTGTGTGGTTTAGCTCGAGGTGAACCTGGGCGCTTTGGCGTCGGAGGTGGCCTGTGGTTCGGACCACAGCTGCGCACGGCTCACGGATGGCCGGGGGCCTCGTGGCCTCGGGGCCTTGCGCCGCGCTTCGGAAGTCCAAAGGGAAATGGGTGTGGGTCAAAAGTAACCCACCATATGGACCGCAGATTCTGGTCGTTTCCACTTACCAGGGTTCCATTTTGGGTAAAGTTTCACGGAAGAACGGGAAAAGGGGACATCATATTCGATCTTCGGGTTCCCTGATTTAGGGCAAGCCTGGGTTATTTCAAGGCCTCGTTCCCTGTTGAATGTCCAACTTCTTGGGGCGTTAGAAGCGGCATTTGGACACGGACACCTGGCGGCCTTTTCAAGGATCAAAGTCTCGCTGACCTCAAGGGCCGGTTTGGGAGCGCACAAGCTGGCTTTGGCTCTCGCAAAACACGCTCCGCGCACACGTTCCCGTTGAACAGCAGCGGTTTGGCTTGGAACGGCACCCGAGAAAAAGATATGAGAAATCAAGACACAAGGGACTTGGAGCATGTGGGGGGGCCATGAGAGCGATCCCAAGGCTCTTTTGGCTGGGTGCAAAGCTGCACTTGTGTGCAAGACATGTTAATTCCTGCCAAGCTGCCAAAATGACATCCACCTCTGAACATGCTTCATCCATGCCGAGGGCAGCTCCTCGTTTTGGCTTTGAGGCTTTTGGGCTATTTGAAGCATGTACTTTTCTAGTCCTTAGATTCGTCCGTCTGGGTCTGTGCCGAGCCGAGGGGCGCACAAACATGTGCTGCAGGGGATTACACGTGCACAGAGATCAACGCAGGAAGGGGATGTTTGTTTTTCCCTTCCCCTTCGAACGTCACCGCCGTAGTTTCGAGAGTGGACTGAGGCTTATAGATCAGCATGGCTTGGGGGAAGCGATGCTGCAGCCAGCTGTAGACGTTTGTTGCAGTAGCGCCCAAGAGCCTTGAAGTGGTTTTGGATCCGCAAGCAGGGAGGGGAGTCAAATTTCATGCTCAGATCAGCTTCCAACACAGTGCTGGCGCGGCACGACTTCAGATCATGTGAGACCACAAGTGAAGAACAACAACACCACGGGCAAGTGCCGCCCACCTTGCTCGATTTAACAAAAACCTGACATCACAGCACCATTGCGCGCGTTCCAGTTTGGGAAGTTGCTCGCCGGCAATGACACGTGCACCCATTTTGGGCAAGACATGGCACTTCAAAAAGAAAAGACGGGGGGGGGGGGGGGGGGGCGACCGGACGACGACCCGCGGTGCTTGAGGCCGCGTGAAGTGCTGGGGTTCCAACCTGCAGGGCCAGGTGCTCGTGGGGGGCCTTGTCAGAAGCCTTGGTCTAAATCTGAGGTTTGGAGGGGTTTTCCGTGGACTCGGGTAGCCAATCGTGGCAATCGCTCAAGTCCAGGCTTGCTTGTTGCAGTGCGGATTCCCATGAATTTGCTTTGCCTGTCGGCTCGGGTTGCTGTGGAGTGGGGCTTGGGCCTGTCCGGGCCCGTTGGTTTTGGAGGTGCTGAGTGGGGGTGGCCGCATCATCGGCAGCCAGCCCCGGGAAATGGGCCAGGCCTTGGCACCGCGGCTCACCGGGACAAGGTGGGTGTTGCCCCCGACGCCAAATTTTGGGTGCTCAATCCATTGGTCCAAAATGGGACCTGGTAAATGGAAAGGTAGACTGAAACCTGCATAGCCCCAGCTGTTTAGTTGTGAGCCACACCCAAATGGGACACGATCAAAATCAAGCGAAAGTTCACGTCATGTTGGTTGCTCCCTGCTTCGACCCACCGTTGAACCTTTTTGCTTGACAGGTTGTTGGTAAACAGTCACGTGGTTGGGTGGAGTTGACCAGGCGGCAGAAAGGACATCTTTCGTCTCGCATGTTTCAAGCAGCGCAAAATGGCACCCTCCTCAAGGAGGGCCTTTGATTGTAGGAACGCCATCGCTTCTATCCTCTCATCTCCTTGGTAGATTCTGTGGTGCTGAGCAGCCATTTGCTTCAGGTCTACCAGAAGGCAATCCCAAGGGATGATGTTCGAGACCTCCCACACCCAGTGTGGTTCGCTTGTTTGTGAGGTTACATGTTGACTGGGTGACTCTTCTACATGGAAGACACAACGTGATAGGACTGCAGGAGCGTCCCCAAAAGGCTGTTCCCCTATCCAGATCCGCTTGTGGGGCGGGTGCAAAGACCTTAGCTTAAAAGTAGCAAGCATCGCAGTTCTCCAACTCGATTCTGGCTGGTTTTCATGGGGCCCAGGGTAGCTTTTGCGGTTTCGCATGTCTTTGTTTAACGTCGACGAAGATTCAAGTAGAACCCGGCGGATTTCTTGGGGTGTTTCCCTCTAAGCAGTGATTTGGATTTTCTGGACAATGGGGCACACCCCGGATCAGAATTCGCCCGGGGTTTACAAAGCAACACAATAAAATGGGGATGATAGATATGGTATGACACATTTGACCAAACAATGAAGCCAACAAATAGAGTTATGGGTTATCAAGCCACACAATAGCCGAACAATGGGGATGAATGGAATGAAAGATCTCAGGCGGCTCAGCCGCTGCGCGGGAGGGCCAGGAGTCTGCAGATCGGGCCGTGGTGCCTTGGAGGGCCGGCATAGTGCAAATCACCAGGGTGAAGCCCGGTGCTTTCGCTTCATGGGTCTTCAAGATCACATTTGGGCCAAGTGATTTTGCTTTTGAGATAGCTGGGGGGTGGGCCGGACTCATTTTGGGCTGCGAGGTCGTGAGGGAGGCAGGGTTGGGGTTTCGTGGTAATTTTTCGGGCCACACACTTGCATGCAAGGACAGGGGTTTTGATTGGGGTGGGGCTGGGGACACATGGGAGAGTCCACATGATTATTTGCTGGGGCAGCGGTGGGGCTGCGTGTTTCAGGGGCATTGTTGGCCGATGGTGCAGGTCCAAATGCCTGTAGGTGTTTCTTACTGGATTTGATGCGTATCCCGCACAGATGTTCCCGCTTTTAAGGGTCAACTTTTGGAGGGGTTAAAGGGTGTGCAAACCGGCCATGACACTGACGCTCAAGTTTGGGGCGCTTGCATACTGTTGAGCAGCAGCTCAATGCTTGTGCCGTTCTGCTGTTCTTGAAACAAAGCCCGGCCAGCTTGTCCATCATGCCCTTGTGGTCTCGCCCAATCAGGACAACTTGAAGTGTTTTACATACCCCTTCGCCCCTTGGCTCCCCTGGGTCCTCTTGGTTGGCCCCTTGGCCCCTCGCATTTCCAGTCGCAAGCCGGGCAAAAGGCGCTGCGTCGAGGCACAGTTGCGTCATCCTGGAGGACAGCAGCTCCGCGTGCTGGGGCGGCTGAGCTGAGAGCGGGCCGTTGGCCGGCCCGGTGAGCCCCGGCCAAGCCGCGGAGCTCCCGAGCCCAAAGGGTGATGGACCAAACCCGGCGCAGCGAAAAGTTAGGGGGGGAAGCTGACTGGTGCCTGGGTGTTTGGGCGCCTGGGGTACTGTTTTCGGGAGAGCTTTAGCTTCGGCTTAGATGCCACTGGAGCAGTTTGGGCATGGGTGTGGCGGGCGTTGCTCAGCGGCAAAGACTTGTGGCAGGACAGACTGCGCAGTGAGGCACGTGGAGTTGCCTCATTCGCGATTGAAGCATAACCTCAAGATTCCACGGCAGGGGCCGCAGGGGCTGCAATTTGGGCTTTGCTAAACAAAATTTTGTAACTGGGCATTGTGAGCCACACGCCAAGATATGTGAGTCTGCCCTTCGTTTGGAACATGACCAAATTTGGATGAGCAGCTTCGTGGCATGCTTCTAGACCTTCTTTGGGGCTGGGTTATTGCGACCATTGTGGTAGGACCAAAAACCAATGGGTTGTTAAGGCACAGCTCGATAAAATTAGCGCGGATTCGAACACACTTGGCACGTGATGATTTGGTTCAAAGGTTTGGGGAGGCATTGCCTGGCTTCTCAGCTGGCACGCGTGAGGCGGCTACGAGCGAGGCGCACAAATCGCGTGCCTGCCCAGCACACATGCGCCCTGGCAAGGCTTTGGTGGAGTGAAGTTTGGTCAACTCACTAGATGCCTAACAGAGAGAAGCATTGCGGCATATGAGAGTGATGAAGCGGGCTAGCAACCGCACGTTGAATTTCTATCGTGCTCTGGGACTGTCATATATGTGTATATATATATATATATTGGTGCCTCCCAATGCTAGGGCTGCTAGGTCTCCTTTTTGATGGCCTTTAGCAGGAACCACCCGTGTTGCCTTTTTCAGTCGATTCTGGTCCCTCTGAGATGGGCGCTCATCGACAGCACTGGTAGAGTCTTGGCGCTAAGGCAAGGGCAAGAGAAGCAAGCGCTGGCAGAGGTGCGGAGGGATGAGAGTTGCGTATGAATTCTGCGACTTCAGACAAAATTTCAGGCCGCTTGTGAGCGCACGTCATGCATGGCACCCGGCTAGGCTGAGCGCAAGGCTCAGGCTGAGCAGGCGCAGGAGGCATGGGCAAAGCAGCTGGAACAGGAGTGGCTAGGCTGCACGGGAGCTTGCCCTCAGAAGCGTCAGAAGGCCCCCGATCAGCCCAGCGGATCTCCGAGGCAGCTGCAAGCGCGGCAGGCGCTTGAAGAGGCAGGGGTTTGGCCCGAAGCCGACATCGGGTGCATGCGAGGCACGTGTCAGGCATGGGTACAGCTGCCAGGGTGCTGCAGATAAGGCCCATCAGCTGGTCACAGATGTCTGTCCCGAGCCTCGATGGAGGCATCCACTTCCCGGGCGCAGGAAGCACATGCGAGGCAGCAGGAGGAGTGGCCGGGCGGCAAGATGCGGCGAGATCGGTTCGTGGCATGGGTCGCATGGGTTTCGGCTCCGATTTCGGCCCTGAAAAGTCGCTTTTGTCACGACGATTTGCTTGTCAGAGGCAGAGAAAAGGGTCGGCAAGCCGAGCTGTTGAGCCGAGCTGTTGATCCGAGGCTGGCCATGAGAGCCGAGGGGCAGCTGAAGGAGGCGGGGATTCGGGCTTCCATCAGATTTGTGCAGCTGCAATTAAGACATTAACGCTTTTGGACCGTCCTCTAGAGGGACGCCAGTTGAATTCCCACGACATCTCGCAGGGGCCTGTCAGTGTTAGCTTGTGGCTCCTGGTTGTGCCAGGAGCTCAGAGCTTTGCAGGACAGGGCATGGCCGCGTCGTTTGGCTGTTTGTGCTATATTGCTGCATTTTTTTGCGAGCTACCCATGGATAGCGACATTCTCGCACGGTGATGTGTAGCCGCACATTTGGATGGCTCTGGTATGCAAGCAAAGAGGATGCAACTTGGAGTTTATTGCGTTGCTTTTGCATGCGAGGAGCAGGAGCTGACGGTGGCTTCCCAGGCATGCAAGGGCGGCAAAGTCTTGTAGGTCCTGTACAGTTGTCGTGTATCCATCAAAAAATCGCTCTCAGGATTGGGCACTCCTTCTCTTTGTCCTCTAATTGTCCACAACCAGGGAAGCTCTCGAACTTTCCCATGTCCACAGGTCATGTTTCGACCGGCCGTGAAGTTCAAGAGCTTACACGTTCACCAGCCCGCCCGATGTCGCGAGGCGCGCGAGGCTTGCGAGGCGCAGGAGCTTCTCGGCGTGATTCGTCTCACGGCTCTTCTCCATGGCCAATTTTCTCACTCGCCCCAAATTCCTCTCTTTTTTCTTTCCTCGCCCGTTTTTTTTGTTTTTGGCGCGTGCTTGGTTTGAGTTGCGGGGACCAGGCGCAATTGACCGACGGGGTCTCATTTTCAGAAGTAGCCAGGTGGGTGTTGGCTGTCAGGGTTTCAGGCATGTGGGGCGTGCTCTTCACTGCTGAGGCAAGGGCAAGAGAAGCAAGCGCTGGAAGAGGTGCGGAGGGATGAGAGTTGCGCACAAATTCTGCGACTTCAGACATGTGAGCGCACGTCATGCATGGCACCCGGCCAGGCTGAACGCAAGGCTCAGGCTGAGCAGGCGCAGGAGGCATGGGCGAAGCAGCTGGAACAGGAGTGGCTAGGCTGCACGGGAGCTTGCCCCCGATCACCGATTCTGCTGCACAGTGGATCTCCGAGGCAGCTGCAAGCGCGGCAGGCGCTTGAAGAGGCAGGGGTTTGGCCCGAAGCCGACATCGGGTGCATGCGAGGCACGTGTCAGGCATGGGTACAGCTGCCAGGGTGCTGCAGATAAGGCCCATCAGCTGGTCACAGATGTCTGTCCCGAGCCTCGATGGAGGCATCCACTTCCCGGGCGCAGGAAGCACATGCGAGGCAGCAGGAGGAGTGGCCGGGCGGCAAGATGCGGCGAGATCGGTTCGTGGCATGGGTCGCATGGGTTTCGGCTCCGATTTCGGCCCTGGAAAGTCGCTTTTGTCACGACGATTTGCTTGTCAGAGGCAGAGAAAAGGGTCGGCAAGCTGAGCTGTTGAGTCGAGCTGTTGATCCGAGGCTGGCCATGAGAGCCGAGGGGCAGCTGAAAGAGGCGGGATTCGGGCTTCCATCAGATTTGTGCAGCTGCAGTTGGGGCATTGACGCTTTTGGACCGTCCTTCAAGGGATGCCAGTTGAATTCCCACGACATCTCGCAGGGGCCTGTCAGTGTTAGCTTGTGGCTCCTGCTTGTGGCAGGAGCTCAGAGCTTTGCAGGACAGGGCATGGCCGGGTTGTTTGCTGCATCAATGGCGCTTGAGTGAAGCTTGTGAATAGTCTCGCTCAGGGTTCTTACGCGAATACCGAATATCCGGAAGTGCACCAGGGGGGGGGCTCCTGGTAGCAGTTGCGGGTGTCCTAAGATGAGAGACCTTTTTCGTTGCTGTTGCAAGGGAAAGTGTAGAGATTCCTATTTTGGGACAAGCCAGCTTTGGAGTGCGTGCCATTGTCGTGGGTGTCGTTCCCTCCTTAGATGCGCTCTCCGGTTTCATCAATTCCCTGCTGCCTTCTAAATGCGAGGAGCAAGAGTCGGCAGTGGCTGCCCAAGAGCAGGCACGTCAAACAGATTGAAGGGCAGCAATCAGGGTTGGGCAATTCAAGCCCTTGTTAAACACGCGGGCCAGAGATCGGGTCGATGCAGCAAATTTGCACGCTCGATCCTGGCAGCGAGTGCCTTGATTCAGATGGCTCGGCGGTACCCGGGCGGCTTTGCATGTTCCTCAAAATTGCTAACATAGAGCTGCCGGAGCTGGTGGTCGGAAGTTTCCATAAATGTAAGAACTACAGTTATCTTTCTCTTTTCTCTTTCTCTTTTCTCTTTCTCTCTTTCTCTTCCTCTTTCTTATTCTCATTATTTTCCTCTTTCTCTTCCTCTTTCTCTTCCTCTTCCTCTTCCTCTTCCTCTTCCTCTTCCTCTTCCTCTTCCTCTTCCTCTCCCTCTTCCTCTTCCTTTTCCTCTTGCTCTTGCTCTTTCACTTTCTTTTTCTCATTTTTTTCCTCTTTCTCTTTCTCTTTCTCTTTCTCTTCTCTCTTTTATCTCTTTCTCTCTCTCTCTCTCTCTTTTTCTCTTTCTGTCTCTCTTTATCACTTTCCCTTTCTCTTTTTCTTTTTTTTGTCTTTCTCTTTTCTTTCTCTTTCTCTTTCTCCCTTTCTCTTTCTCTTTCTCTCTTTCTCTCCTTCTCTTACTCTTTCTCCCTTTCGAACATGTTGCGCCTGCTACGAAATCTATGCCTCACCTTGCGAAGAAAGTACTGCGCCTGCCCTTGCGAAAGTGCTGCGCGGGCCACGCACCACAAACCTTGCGAAACCTTAGCGTTGCCATTGTAGTGGGCCGTGCGCCGAACCCGCCGCAGCCGCGCCGAACAGGCGCTAGACAGGCGTCGAGACATTGACGCAGGCCCGCCAGAACGAGAAGGTCACCCTTTTTTTGTGAAATCTTTTCCCCGTCCACATGCCCGCACATGTTTGCTCGCATGCGTTCATTCTTTCTTCATCTTATTTGTGCGCCAGCTTTCTGAATGCGCATTCTTTTCGCATAGGGCATTTGATCTTCTGTAAGCTATCTGCAAGAGCTATCTTTTCGCTTGCGCCATCTATCTTCTAAAGCTACCTAGCTGCGCAAGCTACCTTTCGATTAGTTTCTGTACTACGGAAGTCTCTTCTAAACTTGTTTTGATGATCTGGCTGAGACTTCCGAGCCTCTAAATTTGAGTTGTCCTAAAGAGAAACCGCATAGGAACCAATTATCCTTTTTTGGGTAGGTGGGGGACAGCCCATATTTTTGGATCCAGAAAACACTGTATGTATCTCCACTTGATGATTACATACTCCTGCATGCGTTTTGTCATTCAGTTTCACCAGCTGTTTCGCAAGGGCGTGCAGCTATGTCGGTGCGCTGCATATGATCCAGTGAGCGTAAGTGGTGCTGTTCTTTACTTTGTTCAGCTGGTGTGCAAGCGAAAGGCATGTGCGCTGGGCGTATGTGCATGACGCGCGTGAAGCACAGCCGCATGTCAAGTGCTCCAGGCGCAAGTCATCTATTTGTTGTTTGCACATGGGCTGAAACTGCAGCCAGCTAAAGAGGACTTTCTTTCCGTGTCGTTTAGCAGGTGCTAGATTTCTGTTTGGCTGCTTGAGATTCTATACTGCGGCTGTACTTCCATTGTGGATGGCGCGGTCACCTCGCCCAGGTAACAATGTACAGAGCAAATGCACTTCCGTTTAGATAGGATCTGCAAATGGTTGAGCACAGACAAGACGTCGAGTGTTTTGTTGTCTCATGGGCGATTAGATTACTTCCGAAACCGATCCGCCGAGACGACGATCTTGTTAAACCAAGACGGCGACAGTAGATGCTATGAGCGAGAGAAAGAGAGAAAAGCCCCCTGATACATGGACAGATGGATCGATTTATGCACAAATGATAGATACATAGATAGAGATACGAAGATAGAGATAGATAGAGATAGATAGATAGATAAATAGATAGGTAGATAGAGATAGAGAGAGATAGATATATAGATAGATAGATAGATAGATAGATAGATAGATAGATAGATAGATAGATAGATAGATAGATAGATAGATAGATAGATAGATAGATAGATAGATAGATAGATAGATAGATAGATAGATAGATAGATACATAAATAGATAAGAGGCATAGGTAGACAGATAGGATCGAAAGATAGAAACATAGAAAGATCGAGAGGGATGGAGAGATGCATCGATTAGATAGAATGATAGGTGGATACACACATGTGCAAAGGTAGCTATTGGCATTTAATCTGCATTCGGGTTCGTGGATTCTATCAGGCTTCATTTGAATTGACCAACAGAACCTGAGACCCTCAAGCGCAATCCGGAAAAGAGAGATTCAATGCAAGAGTGGAGCCCCCCCCCAACAGCTTTCCGCTCGCTCGGCAACGGGTCGCCGCAGGCTGCAGATCAAAAGGCTTTGCGCAGGCAGGGGGGGTGGGGGGTGCCATTGAACGTGCTGGCTTCGATTTTGCGTTTGCATCTGATCGGACGACCATAAGTGGGCAAGGTGTTAGGATGCGTTTTGACCGGACCAAACCTGTCAGGCGCCTTCTGTTAGGCCCGGTCGCCAGGTCCAGAGCTTCAAAGACCGAAGAGCTATTTTCTGAGAAGCATGGCTACGTTGAAACGCTTTGCTCCCACGGTGCAATGTTTGGTTGGGACATGTCATGATGGACTTTGGGCGGCCAGACTGAAACAAGTCCGCCAGGCGTGATAGCGTCCCCTTCCGATGGCAGGTCGTCGGAGCAGCTGGAGGAAGCCCAAGAGGCCCGGAGACGGAGAGATTCAGACGACTGAACCTCTTGCCCTCAGGGAAAGGAGGAAACCAGCGAGTCACAAGGTTCGCAATTTGGCTTATGTGCCAAACAGGTGTGTCGGAACCAACAGGTCCAAAAAGCAATTTGCCCAGATTCGTTCAACAGCTCATACAAAGTCGACAAACACCCACCAAAAAGCAGGGCTTTTGTGCAGGATTTGCCTTGTTGCCGGTTTCTTATGGGTTTCCCATGAGTTTCCCATCGGTTTCCCATGGCTTTGCTATGGGTGTCTTAGAGGCCGCACGCGGCACGGGGTCTGACCCGGCCGGGCTTCAGGCGCTGCACGCGGCGCAGGCGGCCGCCGGCGCGGCGAAGCGGGAGGCGCAGGCGGCGGAGGAGGCGAAGAGGCAGTTGGGGCACCAGCCGCTCGGATGCCCGGAGAGGGGCGGCGCCGGAGGGCGGGGGGGGGGGGGGTCTGGGGAGGGTGGTCGTCATACTTCTTTTTTTTTGAGGGGGGTGTGAGGGGGGAGGGGTGTGTGTGTGTGTGTGTGTGTTTTTTTAATCAGAGCGTGTTTTTGAGATGCCCTTGAAACAGGAGGCACAAGGCAAAGGCGGCGCCAGGGTGCAAGAAGGGTTATATTGTGACAACGCCGGCACTAATGGGTTGGCTTCCTTTTGGTTTGCATGGTTTGCGATGGGGATTGCCAATTCTTGTGTGGTTTTGATTGTGTCTTTTTTGGAAGCCTCTTTTGGGCTGTTTGAAAGATGAATCAAAGCAAAGGGAGCATTCACACCCATATGAAGTTCGGTCGACAAATCTGGCCTATGGCTATTTTGGGAGGGACAAAAGGGACTCACCGAATTTCCCTCAAAGTCTCGTTCAGCTCGTCTAGACCGCATATCCTGGCCCACATCAGACAACTGTGTAGGAGCCACTTCCACGGCTGGAAATGCCGAAGCCAGTTGGGGTGTACGTTGTCTCCGCAACTGCCACGGACATTTTGCGAGTAAATTTTCATTTCCCAAGAGGGAAGCATCGCGACTGCACCCATTGTCATTCGCTACGATAGAAGGTGACTACGACAATGCTGCTCACATTGGCCTCAATGCTGTCAAACCATCCCGAAAGCAACCTACTGCCATTGTCGAGGGAGATCCCAGGCCACCTGTTGGGAATCAAGTAAGGTGTGACTTATCAGTATTTCCAACAGCATTGTTGTTTTTGATTCGTACGAGAAGTGCAGCTACGTTGACCATGTTCGCCAATAGTTGCAGCTGTGTATTTGTGTGTTTCCCCAATAGCAACCGTTGTGGGGTCAGAAGGCCAATGCAGTTTCTGTGGCGGGTTTTGGGTCAGGTTGTGGGGACGGGGTAATGCCAGGTGGCAACGTTTTCTTTTGTTCTCCTCCATCCAAAACATGGTGGTTGTTGGGAAACATTTTACATGTTTGCTTATTGTGGTCTAGTGGGAAATCTCCACGTAACAATTTTTTGCTCCCCTTCTAACGTCAACCAAGAAAACGTGGCAACGTGGCAATCTCAATTCGGAGGCAGGCCTTGGCCTCTTACGTGCCGAGGGCCCTGGCGGGCGACGAGCTGCGTGCCGCCGCAACAGCGGCAGATGCGGCCCCGCCGCGCCTCGCCGAGGGGGCTGAGAGGTTTTGGTCACACAGCAAGTTCAGCCTGGGCAACATGGCAAGCTCTGGGTACGGGCCCCATGATTTAGGTGGAGTTCCCCTGTTCGCAGTTTGGACATGATAGTAATGTGATGTATTTGCAAGTCTTCTACTTCAGAGCGTGTACCTCAAGACGGCTTCGGTTCCTTTCGGTTTCCCTGCAACACAACCTCAAAAAGGGCACCCTCAAAAAGACACACAGAGAGTTTTTGTGCATGAACAAGGGCGGGACACCAAAACACCAACAGCAAACATGAGCACGCTACCGTCTGAAGGGGCGGGGCTTGTCTTCTCGGAACGCAAGCCACCTCAGTCTGCTGCATGAGGCAAGGTTCATATTGAGGCTTTGCCGTTATAGTGAGCAAACAATCAGTTCGCACATCGAGCCCCGGTTGTGGCCCACTCAGCTCTTGGGAAATCTCCAACATGCTAACTGTACTTGAACAAGGTGGGGTATGCAAGCTGGATGGTTTACCCGGTGTGGTTTTGCTCGGTTCAACCCGTCCTTGACCGCAAGCGTTGGCAGCCAGCCCGCAGCCCAGGCCTGTGGCGTGCAACGTATGGAGTTTGGCCGCTGAGGCTTACGATTCTTGACACGGCAAAGGGCCAGAGCGTAGTTTTGGGAAGTTTTGATTTTTGGGCTACGTTCTGCGATACTAAGGGAGTCCCTTTTATCAAGTTGTAAAGATTGTCACGACATGCCCCACTTTGGTATCACAGAAAGAGTATTTTTCAAAACTTGGGCGGTGTGCAGGAAAGGAGCAGCCTTTTGGCTTCTGGACATCATTTGCTGGGTTTATCTCGACCAAACGGTGTCCGCCATTTGCATTCACAACTTCAAGAAACCAATGAGTTTCCGGGGTCCCTATTTGGACACGGAAAGCCGGGATCGGCAGAAAGATGAGCGCAGGCCCGGGCGCAAGACGGGGTGAGTTCGGCCCGCGGCCCTGGTGGTCAGGCGCGACCGACACACTCAATTCTTTGACTTGCTGGTGCGATAGGTAGGGAATGTGGTTGAATGAACCCAGGAATTGGGCCGCTGAAAGGAAACCACCAGTATGGTTTATGTTCGGGTCATTCCAATCTTCATTCCCTGCCTGTCGCGCCAGCGAGTTCAGCACTCCGGGGACATGCCGCACGGTTTGAGTCAAGGCCTACCTGTGCGATCGCCGGACGGCCGAGGCGAGGGCTCGCGACAGCGAGATCGCTCGGGGGAGATCTAAAGAGGCAACAAGGCCCCGGCGTCAAGTGACAAACACAGTGTTTGCACCCTGAATCACAATTGGTACAGCGTGTGCAGCCTATTTTGGGTCAAAAACTTGGAAGAGGGGAGTTAACTGTGGCGAGGCTTGGAGCAAACGTGTGCCCAGACTCGACACTATTTGTACTTCCCCTCAGGTGAGTCGAACCAAAGGTCGAACAAATTTGGTTCGTGAAAGTCATTTTTGAACCACTGAAACACCTAAGGAGTGCATGTAAAGTTTCTGCCTTTTGCGTTGCAGCGCCCCGGAACTTCTCTGGAACCCTCGAGTGCCCTCCAATCCCCGTGGCTGGGGGAATCTCCATTGACCTTGTGCTTTCCTTGACAGACAATTGACAATTGTTAAAAGAACTGAACACCGATTTGATGTTTTACAAACTGCTCATGCTGGTGAATTCATGTTGTGAGTTCAACTCTTTTCCCTTCGACTGAAAAGGAAAACCCGAGGCGCGTCTGCGCGCCCGCTGCCTCGTGGGGTCCGCAGAGGCGGGAGCTCGCGGTATTTGCGGCCGAGCCAAGTGCAGCGAGAGGTGGAGATGCGACCAGAGAGTGGATTCGTGTTTTTTTTCTTTTAGAGGGGCCGATTTTCCAGTGCGAAATCCGTTTGGCAGCATGCAATGGTTGGAAGAACGAGCGCAGCCTGGCCCAGTCACTTTCAAAGATGGTTTCTTCTTTGTTTGGAAAAGGTATCGTTCCTTCTTGGGTTCCACTCCAAGTGCTTCTCGTTGGCCGGCAAGCAGTTCTAACCTTTACCCTCACGGGCGGCTTGTTCAAGGGTTCAAGCGGCTTCAAACCATCCGCTTTAGGTTAACGCATCCTGGTGATTAGATGCGGGTTCAAACACGTGTGGCGCTCCCAAATCTTCTCAGTTTTCTGGTGGGTGCAAAGGAACCATGGGTTGCAAGGCCCCTTCACTGTTTCTAGGAACACCGCGTGTCCCTGGGCTGGCCATCTGTCAGCTCTTTAAAATCTGGTCGCTAAATCTGGTCCCTTTGTGTAGAACGCTTGTCGCGCTGCTACTTCCATGGCTCGAGGTGTGCCCGGAAGAGACGCACAGGCATTGTGTTTTGAAACGGCTCGACCCGGGCTCCTTTTGGGTTACAACACGGGTCTCCGGAAATGGCTCGGTTTTGAGAAGACCACGTTCCAAGCTCGTGCTCCTTTACTCATGATTTGAGGAAGCTGGCAAGTTTTGGTCACAAGGTTTGGGTCGTTATCCTTTGCAGGTAGCGCAGCACTCAAACATTTGTGAGGAAAGGCACGGAGGAGAGGCACTGCCGTGCCTCTCATGCTGACAAAGTTCTTGGCCCTTTTGTGGCTCATGGCGGCTGACAGTGCGGCGCCGAAAGGTGCCTTCGGCGACGGGTTCTCGGTCTCTGGACTTGATGTGACCAAAAGCTGTTCGTACTGCAAGTTCTACTTTCTGCCACGCAAGCAACGCACGTCAGGGTTGCAACAGAGGCCTGCACTTGCTTTGTTGTAGGATGTTGTCACAACTTTCCATTCAGCAGGGAATGGGTGGTTTGCAGGGGTCTCCGGGGGATGTGCTACCGTGCTAATATATTCAACTCCCTGGACTAGCCATGTTTTGTTTGTCCGATTTTGCGGGCTTCGGGCGAACCGCGGTGACAGTTCCTATGTAAGCCACGACAAAGGCCCAAGGCGTTGGCGCACGGCAAGCTCGCCTCGAGGTGTCGTGGCTCCGCTGGCCATCGTCACGGGCGCCAATACCGGGATCGGCTTTCACACCGCAGGCGAGTGGCGGATTGATTTGACTGGCCAAGAAGGGCCTCGAAAAGGGGGGGGAGGGGGGTGGTGGTCAAAATTGTGGACCCACCGTTTTTGGACCGAAGTGACCGAAGGCACACAAAATCACACCCGCACAAAGGTGTACCTTCGACAACCCAAATACTGCTCAAGAAAGAGGGCCAATTGTTCTCCGAGTACAATGGTTGTTTTCGTTGTGGTTTCCCTTCGAACACCCAACCGCGGTTCAAAGGAACCTCCCTGTGACAAATTCGGGCACCTTCCACCCACCCGCCCGCCCGCCCGCCCGCCCGCCCGCCCGCCCGCCCGCCCACCACCCACCCACCCATCCCCTGCATCCGCCAGAGCAGCTCAGCGCGCGGGGCTTCCACGTGCTGCTGGCCTGCCGCTCCCTGGACCGGGGCCAAGACGCCCTGCGCGCCGCCCAGGCGAAAGGCAGCGCGGAGCTCATGAGGCGTGGGAGCGGGGGAGCGGGGGAGCGGGGGGAGCCTTAAGATGGCAACGGGTTTCCTTTTGGTTTGGCTTAAAAGAAACCAGGGATGGTGTACAGACATCAATGCCTTTCCTGAGAACCAGCAAGAGGGCTGCTCCATTTCTGAGTCCCTGGGTTGGACTTGTGATTGCTATCACACCCTCCCGGACAGAGTAATACGACAGCGGTGCTGGACTTTCTACGTTTTGGGCTTGGCCATTTTAGTGATACACGGCAAGGTTGGAGTTTTATTGGCCAATCCGGTATGGAAGGAATGTGAATGTGTATCCAAAAGGGACCCCGCTCAAATTTTGGGTGAGCAACCATATAACGCAAGAATCCAAACACATAGATTCAGGGAGGGTGTACCATGGTTGCAGCTTTATGTTTCTTCCTGGGGATCCTTTGTTGTAGAAAACTAGCAAAAGCAGGTAACAGTTGGGTTTTTAAGGAACACTGGTTCAACAGAATGTAAGCACCCCCGGCGGAGCCAAGCTTGGAATACATCTCTCCAATTTAAGCTGGAACCCTGACCTGAGGTGTCACCCAAACGGAGACTAAGGAGGTATATTAGGCCCCCCCGTTTCCCCAGAAAGGTTCTAAGCTCCTTTCCAAGAGCCGTGTTTGGTTTCCTTGGCACAATTCCCTTCATCCAAGTACAGACGACTACTCCCAACTGGGGGAAGTGTATAGAATCCATCTACGTTGAAGGTCAGATAGCGACAAGGGGTTGCCATATTTTCCCCAGAACGCCAGGAAGCTCGCTGGGGCCATCTAAGGGGCCATAGGAACCAGCCGCCCGAGCCTCACCCCAGGTTAGACCTGGCGTCCTTCGCCTCGGTGCAGACTTTCGCCCGAGAGGTGCAAGCCATGGACCGGCCTCTGGCGCTGCTGGTGTGCCGAAGCCTCAGAAAATCGAGCCGTTTTTTTTTCTTCTTCTCCCCGAAGTCGAGGCAGCTGGGGGCTGCATGGCAAGGGAAGCCACGAGGAACCAAGAGGCGATTTCGGAGATGGAATTGCCCGCTTTTTGGGATGCGAAGCCAACAGGAAACCGACCACTTCAAAGGGCCTAATTTCGAGAAACGCCCCACCTGGCCCGGGATTTTCGCGAAAGACATGCTGACAACATCCATTCCAGGCACCAGCTGCTTTTTCTTATCCCAGTCATAGAGTTTCATGCATCCCAAGTGCGGGATGGTGTCCCATGCACAGCGTTCCCATGTGAACCTTGAAAAGACAAGTCATTGTCTTCCCTCTACAGTAGAGGATCTCCTTCTTATGGAAAGGACCCCATGTTAGATCAGGGTTGTTGAACTCGACCTGCAAGATCCTGCGGCGGCTCTTCTTGTGGTGTTCCATTCAGGATTAGATGTTGAACAAGACAAACCCAAAGGCTCAGGCGAAAACTTTAAGATCCATTGGTTTCTGCAACCTTCAATCCAACTTCAACCCTACCTGTGGTCTGTGGGTCCCAACACCGGTTAAACGGAATCGGCCCAAGGTTGACCTTTTGCCCCTCTTGTTGAACATCAAGCTTCAAGAGGCAGACCCTTCTGGGACAAGAAACGCAAACCATTTGCTGGTGGAAGTTGGCTTCAACCCTTTGTGCGTGTTTCGTTCTTTCGCTTTTGGGATCGCTTCGGGATGTGAAAGAGAGCCAAACGGAAACCAACGCCCCTTCTTGAAGGGCTTTGTCCTTGCAGCTGGGATGGGAGGGTCCGTTGCGTCGATAGCCAGGCTGTTGTTGGGTCACTTTCTTCAGGTTCTAATCCTTTTCCGTGCAGGGAGGGCTGGACGCATTGCGATGAGACGATGGTCGAGGATTGGTTTGCTTTCACCGAAGCTTCGCCAAGGCAACGCGGGCATGAACTCGGCTTCTGCCAACCAGGAGCCGGTTCTCACTTGGGGCGGGGCGCACCAGTCAGGCCTTTGGGGATGGATGTGAGGGTGGGTTTGAGTGTGTCTGCTTTTAGGCTCGGTAGCTTTTTGTTGAATTTAGAGGGACGCCAAGGGGAACATGCGCCATTCTGGGGGGTTTTCCACTTCCCCCCCCTTCCTTGGCTGATTCTCTCCCACGCTCCGCTTTCCGCCAAGCCCAGGAGACAGCGCATCAGCTTTCAGAAGACAAGGTGGACGTGCTGTACCAGACCAACTACCTGTCAGGCGCTCAAGCTCAGGAGTTGGTTTCGTGTCCGCTCAAAAGGGAGTGGAGCCCTGATGGGTTTGTCTCAGAATGGTGCTTTTTGCCTTTTCAGGTTGTTTTTTTGCGGGGTGTTAGAGCGAAGCTACGTAAGAAACACACTGGTGGGTGGGTTTCCATATCAGATTCCACCAACTAAATGGAAGCGCCCAATTTTAGGTTTCCCTTGTCGAGCATCCGCAAAGCAACACGCAAGAAGGGTCGGTTGCAGAATCAAGCGGCCAACTATTTGTTTCATGGAGCGACAGGGTTTCTCATGCTTCATGGCGATGACACATCCTTGGACCCACTTTCGGATTCCAGAAGCTACGTTTGGCCTCCTTGAAGCTGGCTTGCTGGATTATCTTTGATCCAATTAGATTATTTTGTGTGCTCAAACAATCACGTCAGGGATCCTTCGCCCAGCCCCTTTCACGGGCTTAGGAAGAGCAGTGATAGGGCAGCGCGGCTCGCATGATGTCACATCTATCCGTATGCTTGGAGTGTCAGGATGCATAGGGCCTGACCTCAATCATCTTGGAGACAGGTGCGCTACGTTTTCTTCACCGGCAGTGTTTGTTCATGGTTTATGGATTTCCGGCGCATCTTAAAGTGCGAATGTCCTGTTTGAGGTGAATTCAGCACCGCTTTGACTCTACGATTACCCAGTCTTGTCAGTAGCTCCTTTCAGTGCAATGCCGGACGGGTGCATCAGCGTTCGACACGCTGTACTGTTAGGGGAACCCAGGATAGAAGGAAAGCAACTGCTTGGTCAAGCCAAATACCCCGATCTTGTCAGTAAGCCCTATGTGCCTACTGTCAAACGACAGTGCAAATGGGCGCCCAGGATCTATCCTTTTGATCAGGCAAACCCTTGTTCGCCGCGTGCGAAGAGATACTCCCATGCTCTTGCCATCAAAGCCTGGGCAGGGGATGTGAAGGGCAATCCCAACGGATGGGCGGCCCATGGGCGTGGACTCCCTCGGCTTGTGCAGCCCTTCAGGTTTTGAGTCTGAGGTCGCATTTCCTCCTGATCCTTCTGCTGCTGCCATTGCTGAAGTCGCGGGG